GTCGCTTGGAGATGAATTTTATCTTCTTTTGTTGAAAATCTCTCTTTAACACATCGAAGTGAAAAATCCATATCTCCGGCCGCCCATCCAATATCTTCTAGCAATTTCCTTAATTTACACAGAAACTGGATGAACAGTGAATATCATTACGTACCATTCCTCATTAAGACAGTTGTTGTACTGCTTACGACTAAGGCGGCTCTCATGTTCACAGAATTAAAAGCAATGGCTTTAAAGGAATACGAAGAACCTGGATTGAGGTGTTGCGTTACCATTGACGTTTCCTTTCTATGTTCAATGATGTACAGAAATGGCTCCCCTTTCGTTGTATAGTTATAAAACGGCACAACAGTATAGTTCTTTGATGGCAGCGTCGAGTGATCCCAATCAATGGTAACTTCACCAGGTTTGGATTGTTTAATAGCTGGATCCCATCTATTTACAGTTGAATCTTCGATAAAAAAAAAACAGTATTGCAAATGAAATAAAAATATAAAAATTAAAAACTCATGCTTACTTAATGCAGCATCAACTAAGGATGGATTTGCAAGTATATACTACATATAGTCAGTTTTTTTGTTGAAAAAGACTTCAAAAAATTAAGACACATCTAATTAGCCAGAATGAAGGAAGGAAGTCGGAGAGGAAGGGAGGGAGTGAGGAAAGAGAGAAGGAAGGAAGGAAGAAAGAGAGGGACGGACGGACGGAGGAAGCAAGGGAGTAAGGATGCAAGGAAGGTCAGGAAGGAAGGAAGCAAGGAAGCAAGAAAGGAAGCAAGCAAGAAAGGAAGGGGAAAAAAAGATCTTAAAAGACCGGTCAAGTGTCCGGTCAGTTAGTTCTATCAGAATATAAAGACCTTAAAGCACCCGCCTAGCAATTGTAAGAGTTCTGACCTGACAATTTCTGAGTGATGATGTAGAAGGTGACACTAACTCCAGAAAACCTGTGCCAGTAGCCTTTATCAGAGTGGTATCTGATTACTGCTGGACGATTCTTGATCAAAACTTCAAATGGGCGCATTCCACGACATTTTCTTATTTTAAACTCGTAATTTGCATCAGAAACTTCAACGTAATCCGCAGCATAATGATTACTGTAACAAAGATAAATTCTTAACAATTAATAATAAATAATAAATATTTAATAAATTAATAGCTGGGGATCACGTGACCACACCTACCTTAAATCAATAAGCTATCAAAAAATGATGAGCAAGTTTAGGTTGGTAAAATGGCAAACCTAAATACTTCAAAGATGACAAAAAATATAAAATATTGATAAAATATTGAATTTTTTAGAAGAAACGTGTGGGAAAATAGAACTGGAGAGAGCATACGCAAGCCTTGCCCTCTCCAGTGCTGTTTTTGCACGTTTCTTTAGATTTGCTACCACTTTTGAAATATTTAGTGTTGACACTTGAAACTATGTCTTTTCACTTATTTTTATCCCCTCTTTACATTTCTGAACATCATTTTTTCATTGCTGATTGATTTAAGGTAGGTGTGCTCAGGTGACCCCCAGCTGCAAAGGGCCTATAATAAGACTATTGAGAGGAGGTATGAATAAGAGGACCCAGAGAATCCCAGAAAGGTCGGAAATAATTTTTTCCAAATTTATTTCCAAGCGTCTTTCTCCCGGAATAACCTCCTTGTAAGTACTATAGGGCAATTCCACGTTGTGGACATTACGTTTGGAAGCTAAATTTTGTATTTTAAATCTCTCTTAAATGTCTACAAAAATAATTTCAGTTTTTTTT